ATTCATAGGCCACGACTCAAGCGGGAGACCGGGACGCACGGGGGGGGGGGGGGGGGGGCGGGGCGCGGTGGGAGCGGGGGGCGGGGGTAAGGCGGTACACGACTCGAGTCTCGCTGTGAGGCCGGGGTGTAGGACGGTGACGGAGAAAAGGACACGATGGCTGGCTTCGATGTGCAAGGCGGGCCGTGGGCGGGCAGCGACAACGAGCCTCTGCTGGGAGGCGGCGGAAGTGGCGCCAGTGGGTCGTCGGGCCGGACGGCGAGCGGGCGGAGCCGGATGCGATCGATGAGCGGCCTGGGCGCAGCGACGGCCGTGGATCGGCTGTTTGTGCTGCGGCCCGAGTGCGGCTGCCTTCCAAGCTCGCTGCTCTGCTGCTTGCGGCCGGCGATTGTGACCAACGCCGCCCTGCACCACGAGCCGGACGAGGCTGGGCGGCGCAGTGCTGTTGGTGAGGCGCCCGGCTACGGATCGGTGCAGGCGGTGGACGGCGCGGACAAGGAGAGTGGATCGGGTGGGCCGACGCGTCCGTCACGTGTCCTCGCCCTCCTCGGGCTCACCATCCTGTGCGTCATGTCGGGCGTGGGCAACAACGTGACGTTTGTGCTCATGGCCGACGCCGTGCCGTCGCCATCGTTCCTCCTCTACGCCACTACTATTGTGTACACGCTGATGTACGGGGTGTGGTATGGGTTGCAGCGATGGTTTGGGGCGCGGAAGCGGATCCCGGTTCTGCCAGGCGCCGGCGACGAGCGCCACGCCGGGCGGATGTACTCGGGCCCGCGGCGCAAGATGCTCCTGCTCTACGGCGCATCCGTGGCCCTCATCACCGTCAACGGAGTGTTCTCGCAGTACTCGGACCCGCACGTCTCGGGCCTGCTCCAGTCGGTTGCCAACCAGCTGACGCTGCCACTCACGGCTGCGCTGGCCGCCACCATCCTCAAGTCACCGCTGACCAAGGTCGAGTGGATCGGTGCCGGTATTGTGCTCATCGGCTCGCTGCTCCCCATCGTGCCGTCACTCATCTCGCCGTCGCCCACGGGCTCGGCCTCCAACTCGCCGTTTTGGATCGCCATGTTCCTTGTCTCGGACATTCCTTCTGCCTTTGTCAACATCGCCGAGGAGGCCATTCTCGACGACGAGGGCATGGCCGCCGATCCCATCCACTACCTCTTCTACACCAACCTGTTCACCATTCCGCCGTACGTCGCTTGCATCTTTGTGGACCTCATTCCGGGCTTTGGCCCCGGCGGCTCGCTCACCGACGTCATGCACGCCCAGAAGGAGGCCTGGCAGTGCTTCTTCTCCTCGGTCGATCCACTGCCGCCCGGCTGCCGCCCGCACGCCTGGATCTACGTCATGGCGTTTTGCCTCGCGTACATCATCTACTTTTTCCTCCTCGCTGTCGTCACCAAGCACGAATCGGCCTCGTTCCAAGCCCTCGTCTCGGCCTGCGTCGTCCCGGCTTCGGCCATCGCCTTTTCGTTTCCCTGGCTCGTCGGCGCCAGCGTCGCCACTCCCCTCAACGACTACGTCCTCATAGGCATCGTCATCATCCCCATCGGCATCGCCGTCTACAAGCTGGATGACTTTGTCACCGACCGCGTCGCCCCTGTCCCGCTCATTGCCCGTCACTGAGCTGCGTCCCAAGCCGCGCTCTGCCACCTCTCGCCTGGCCCCACCCTGCTCTCTCTCGGTCGTCGCCTCGGTGCAGACTCTACGCAGACACCCGATGCCACCATTAGCCCCCCCCCCCCCTGATCCATGCCCTCATCCATCCGTAATCGTAAATCTCAGCTCCAAAGCACGCGCATGCACGCTGTGTCACCAATGCGCGTCATTGTCTCTATTTCGCCCGCCACTTCCACTTCCGCCACCTCCTCCACCACACGCCGTCCCCTCCCTCCCCCCTCCCTCCTGCCTACCCTAACCCTAAAGCACGAGCACACCTGTCTCCCAGCCCCCTTCCGGCCGGCACACATGGTCTCCAAGTTCAACTTTGCCGCCCTGGCCACCCTGGTCACCGGCGGCTCGTTCTCCTTCCTCTCCTCCTCCGCCCCTTCGGCTTCGTCCGCCGCTCCGCCCTCGGCTGCCTCCGCCACCGCTCCGCCCGCTCCGCCCGTGCTGCCTGCTCCGCCCGCTCCACCTGGCTCGGCATCGGTTCCGGTCGCGCCGCCTGCATCCGGCCATGGCTCGACACCGTCGTTCATGTCGTCGCTCTCGCGGCCAGTTCGCCCGCGTCCGCCGGGTGCCGCTACGCTCCGACGCGGGGCGGCGACGCTGGCGCGCGATGGCTCGCAGAACGCACCACAGACAGCCACAGGCTATGGAGCATGGCTGACTGCAGCAGGCAAGGCCGTGCTGGGAGTCACCGCTCTTGGAGGCGCAGGTGCGCTCGCTGTCTACGCCTACAACTGGCACAAAGCCCGCGTCCAGGCTGATGTGCGCAAGGTACGCCGCTGTCGTCGCTTCCTCTCTTCCCACCCCACCCTCCCCTCCCCCCCTGCATACCCTACTCACCATTGCTCTCTCCACCACCTACACAGCGATCTGAGCAGCTCCATCGCGAACGTGTGGCGGCGCTCGTGACCGGCTCGCCCGTCCCCGACGAGTACGTCGACCCAATCACCCTCGAGCTGATGAGCGACCCGGTCCTCACCGCCGACGGCCACACTTACGAGCGCGCCGCTATCGAGCGGTGGCTCGCCGACCACAACACCTCCCCCAAGACCGGCCTCCCACTTCCGTCCAAGGATCTCATCCCCAACTACGCACTCCGCAACGCTATCCAGCGGTTCGAGGCCGAAGTCCTCGCCGCCGCCGCAGACTACGAGATCGACAACCTCAAGCCGGTCGATCCGAAGGACACTCTCGGCCTTGCTGTCTCCTTCCACTCGTGAACCGAGTCGAGGATGCTCCCGTCCCTCCCCCCTCCTCCTCTCTGGCCCTTGCGTCATGTAGACCGACTCGGACTCGGCTGCCCAGTGTCCACACGAGGAGGGCAACAAAGACAACGAGGTGAAGTGCCTTGACCTTGAAGCATCCCTGCCCCATATCCACCGCCCAAACGTCTTGCTCATCCCCTCCCTCTACGCGCAGATCCAAGCATCAGGCACATTGTGGCGGACGGCATGACTTGCTGTCTCCCCGCCAAATGGCCAATCAGCCAGTCACCAGTCACCGCCGCCAGCACTGCCACCGCCTCTCTCGCACCCACCCAAACGCTCCATCATGGCCTCTATGCCCGCCATTGTCGAGCAGATTGCGGCCTCGCCTGCTGTCCGCTCGCTTGTCCACCGCTTCTCCGAGTCCTTCCGTGTGGCCTCTGGCTACCGCAAGTTCGGTACGTCCGTCCTCTTTGTCGTCTCCTCCCGCCATGCCCATGCCCCCCCCCCCCATGCCGCCTTTCTCTCGCTGCCCTTCCCAAAATTTCCCCTCGGGCCGACCACCCTGCCCCCTCCCCACCCCTTCCGTTTCACCCAGCACGCACCCGCTCCCGCTACCCACTCCCGACACACCCGCACACTGAGACTCACTTCAAGTTCCACACCGTTTACCTGCACTCCACTTGCCCACGCCCCTCCCCAACCCCGCCTCGCCGTCTACCCATTCGCCTTGCGACCGGATCGGATCGCTCACCCGCTCGCCGCTCGCCGCTGCCCAAATCGCTGCCGTCTGCTGCCACAGGCCTCCGCCATGAGGACATCATCATGGAGTGCGATGTCGTGCAGGAGGCGATCAACCGCCTTCCTGAGGAAGAGCTCCAGGAGCGCAACTTCCGCTTCTCGCGCGCAATCAACATCTCGGCCAAGAAGGCTACCCTCCCGGCTGCTGAGCGCACCTCGCCCGCTGACGACGTCGAGTACCTCACCCCGTACATCCGCAAGGTGCAGCAGGAGCAGGACGACCTCATCGAGTGGGACAAGTACTGATTCTTGCTCCGCCCCACCCGTCCCCCAATACACACACAACACACACACACCACTTATCAAAATGCTCGTCTTAATCACTTGCGCCGCATGATTAGAACTGCAAGCAAGGCGCCCGTTGCAACAAGCCCGACGCCCGCCACTGCAGGCAGCGCGTAGCTCGTCCACAATGCGTCGCTCTCGCCGGCCGCAGTCGTTGATGGCACAGCGTCTGCCGTCCCGCTTGAACCCGTGCCCAGAGCCACCTTGGCTGGCGCACTGGCAGCGGCATCGTCCCCAGCCGGCTCGACCGTGACTGAGACCGATGCGTTGGCGTCGGGCAAGATCTCACTCGGCTGGGCCACGCTCTCGCTCGCGCTGCCGTCGCCATCACCGTCAAGGAATCCAGCAAACCGCTCGCGGAAGCGCGAACGATTCTTCTTGAGCGAGCCGCCGAGCAGGCCCGAGGCCCGGTCGAAGGGGTAGTCGACGACAACGACCGAAGCTGGCACGTGCTCGTCGCCGAGACCCGCCGCGAGCGCAGCGTCACGGAACCCGCGCCGGAGGACGCCGGCGGTTGCCGGGTCGGCCGCCGCCGCCGCCTCGCTGGGCGTCACAAAGGCCACCAGCTTGCCCGAGTCGGAGAACTCGATAAAGACGTCGTCCACGCCATCGACGTTGGTGTACAGCGTCTCGAGCCCGTTGAGCGCCACCAGAGCTGGGCCCGACTTGCGGAGCGCAGAGACTCGCTCGACAATGGTGTAGGTGCCGCGGATGCTGTCGTACTGTGCCACGTCGCCAGTGGCGTACCAGCCCGAGCCAAACTCGCCGACGCCGTAGTAGCCCAAGTTGAGGTTCGGCGTCCGCACCAGGAGCTCGCCCACCGAGCCGACAGGCGCGTCTGGGAAGAGCTCCGGCAACGGATCCAGCTTGACCTCCACGCCCTTGGACGTGAGCACGTACCCGTTCGACGTGATTCCGCCGGTCTCGGTCGTCCCGTACGAGTCGACAAACGAGATGGCCGGGAAGACCGACTTGACCCACTCGACCAGGTGCGGCGCCGTCGGCGCGCCGCCCGTGGCCAAAAACGCAATCCGCGGGCCAAAGAGTGACTGGATGTGGAGGTCGGCAGCGTCGCGTGAACCGGCTGCGCTGCCGATTGCCACCCACACCGCATGCAGGCCGGCCCAGATCCGCGGCGGACACGCCATTGCCGACGGCTTGAGCGCGGCGACAAGCTCGAACAGCGCCTCGACGTTGTTCGTCGTCCGCCCGCTTGGCACAAGCATCTTGTCCTTCTTGGCTGTCTCGTGCTCGCGCCAGTTCGAAGCACCATAGTGCGCAAAGCCGACTCGCCCGCCCTTGGCCACAAACTCCCACATCTTCATCCGGTCCGACGAGTGCGAGAGTGGGATGTAAGAGACAGTGATGAGCGGCCACGACGACGACGGCTCGGAGAGGTCGTTGACAAACGACTGTGGAGTGACCATGACACCCTTGGGCGCTCCTGACGAGCCTGAGGTGTAGAGCAGCGTAAAAATGTGCTCGTGACCGGACGCCACGCCACGGCAGAGCCGCGGCTCCGGCAGAACATCCTTGAAGCCATCGACGCCACGTCCCTCGCCGCGCGCCAGAGCCTCCACCGTGGGCGTCAGCAGCGTCGCCAGCCGCTGGACTGCCACCTTGGGCCCAAACGCCGGGAGCTCCTCGTCGCCGTCGGCGTCCAGCACGATGACGTGCTGCACACTACCCAGCGCACTTGCTTCCAACGCCTCGAGCGACCAGCCTGCGAGCTCAGTCACTGCCGACGAAGCCACCACCTGCTTGGCACACCCAACCACGACCGGGCTTGCGTTGGCGAGCACTGCACTCGCCTCGCTGCACGTGTACGTCGTGTGGATGCCGAACGAGCCGGCACCCGACAGTGCGCACGCCATGTCCAGCAGCGCAACCTCAAACGCGTTCGGCCCAGAGATGCCCACAAACTGACCGAGCACCCCCATTCCGCCCAGCACCTCGGCGAGCCCGGCCGCGAGTTCGTACATCACCTTGTACGTCAGCCACAGGTAGCTGTCGTGCTCGACAAGAAGTCCCGCGTCGCGCAGTTGGCGGGTGAGCGGTGCAAGCGCCGGCGCCGACTGTAGCTTGCTCGGATCCGGCACGCCGAGTGCCAGCCGGGTGCTGAACACCTCGGCCGCTGCCGTTAGCACGTCGGCCGGCGTCACGCCGTCAAGCGAGGCCGGGAACACCTTGTGCCGCAGGTGAGCTGGGTGCGCCGCATCAAAGGCAAAGGCGGCACCAGAGTCGGGATACACGTGCGCGAGAAACTCGCTGCGAACGCTGGCCTCGACGCCCGGGGCATCAAGTCCGTCGGCGAGCGCAGGCAGGAGCTTCCAGCAGTACGCGCAGTAGTTGGCCTCCGAGTCGAGCGAAACCGCTCGGAACGTGCCCCAGTCGTTGATCGTCTCCTCCACCAGCAGGCCGCACCCCGTGCACCACACCGAGGCCGAGCCAAAGACCATGGCCGGTGCACGGCTCGGGCGCGGCGCCGAGCCGGGTGAGCCGCCGCCGTCGGCGCCCGCACCGTCGTCCGGCGGAAAAATCCAGCCGGGGAACGAGGTGAGCCAGAACGGGACCTCAAAGCCGTAGCACTTGCCGGCTTCAACCAACGCAGCGCACGCCGCGCGGAACTCGCGCCACCGCTCTTCTTTCTCTGGCACCGACAGCTGCTTCGCCACCTTGACTTTGAACGTCGCCACACAGATGGCAAGCTTGCGCGCGACCAGTGCACCGTTGACTCGCGCAAGGCCAGCCGACGCCGACGCCGCTGGGCTCGCGTCGTCAAACGCGACGCTCGCCTGGATCGCCAGTTTGCGGAGCGTCGGCACCAAGCTCTCGGACGCGTACGGCGCAAACGAGGCTAGCGCTCGCGCCACATCTGCCCGCGTCGCCCGCTCCGTCGACTTGAGCGCTGCCGACGCGGCCTCGAGCTTGGCCACCGCGGCAGCGTTCCACTTGGGCGTGCGGTCGGCAATAACGCTTGCGGCGTTGCGGAGGACGGCAAGCGCGGCGTTCATGGCATCAAGCCCGTGCGGGTCCTCGCACTGCGACTGTGAGTCGACAAACTAAAGTCGTACATCCACGCCTGATGCCGGTCAGACGCGTGCGACGGCGGGAGGATCGCACCGATGACCGGTGGCTCGCCCGACGACTGCGATGCCAGCGCATCGGCCATGGCCAATACCAGCGTGCCACCGCTGCTGCCGCTCCCGCCAGTCGCACCCGGAGGGAGGACACAGACGTCGCCGGTGCAGACTGGCGCAGCAGCCGGCGCAGGGCTTGCTACCACCGCGCCGCCGCCACTCGCCCGCCACTGCGCCCGCTCCTGACGTGCCTGCAGCCGCGTGTCCTCGGAGAGCGTCTCGAGCGTGGCGTAGATGCGGTCAAGCGCCTCCTTGTGGCGCGCACCGACCGCGCCGCGACGAACCTTGCCCAGCGCCGAGAGCATGCCGTTGGCGACACTCCACGGCTCGGTATCGAGAACAACATCGGCGGGAATGTGCTCCAACGGGAGGTTGGCGGCGCTGCCGGCTGCCTCCAGCTCGGCGAGAATGGTCTTGCGAGCGAGGTCCGGGGCAAGCGCCGCCACCGCGGCAGTGGGGACGACGACGGCCACAAGGCGGTCGGCGTTGCGGTCGGCGCAGAGCGCCAGACGCGCAACGCCAGGCGTCGCAGCATACGTCGACGCCTCCAGCGAGGCAGCCGGGACCCAGACAGATCGGCCCGAGACGTAGAGCTCGACAACGTTGGAACGGCGGTCGATGATGCGGAGCCGCGGCTGCGGCTCGCCGGGTGTGTACGCCAGCTCGCCAATGTCGCCGGTCCAGAACCAGCCGTCACCAAAGCGGCCGCGGTGGCGTCGGCGTTCTTAAAGTATCCGCTGGTCATGACCGATGGGTCCTTGGCACGGACCAGGATCTCGCCACGCGGGAACGGCAGGTCGCTGGCGAGGTAGCCCATCTCCGGCACGTCAACGAGGCGGACGTCGACGTCTGGCGAGAGAGCACCGTTGACAGAGATTCCCGGAAACTCAGTGGTTCCGTACGCATCGTGGACCCGCTCCTCATTGCCCGGAACCAGCACGTGGGCCATAAGGGCCTTGACCTTGTCCGAGGTGTGGGCGCCGCCCGTGACGACAAAAATGAGCTCACCGCCAAGCGCAGCCCGGAGCGCGGCGTGGGCCCGGATCTCGTGGGCCTTGCCCCACCGAGTCTTGGCTACTGCCGCATCGACAAGTTCATGGACGGCGGCCGACGAAGCGACGTCTTCAAGCGCGGCGGACGGCGCGGCGGCGGCAAGCGCAGCGGCAAAGTGCGGGTCAGGCACGACTCGTGCCGCAAGGTCGGCCCGGTACGAGTCGTACACCCGGTTCCAAAAGTGCGAGAGGCCGAGCATGAAGCGTGGGCGGACGGCGCGCATGTCCTCCAGCAAGTCGTCAAAGTCTGGGCGCGCAAAGGCGATGCTCCCCCAGCCATGCATACCTGCCAGCACACACCGCGGTCGGCGCCGTGTGCCAGCGGCATGTACGAGACCGCCACCTTGTCGGTGCACTGGCCGATGCCGCCGTGCAGCGCATCGTTCTTCCACCGGGCTGCAGATACCGGGATTCCCTTGGGCGCGCCGGACGTGCCCGACGAGTACATGATGGTGGTCAGCTCGTCTGGTGCCTGGGTGGTGGAGCCTGACGCAGCCTCGATCGGCACAGACGTCGAGAGGCCGGTGTGCGAGCAGCAGACGTGGCCGGGCGCCGAGTGGAGGCCGCGGCCAGCAAGGAGGTCGTAGTCAAAGATCTGCAGTGAAGCCGGGACGGTGACTCCGCCAAACAGCGGTTCGCCGGTCGCGGCGGCCTCGGCGTTGGCGGTGGCGTAGCCCATGACAATCAGGTACTTGAACTTGGGAAGCGCCGCGCGTGGCTCGGAGCCCGAGTCGAGGATGCGGCGCCGCTGACGAGCTGCCGCCGCAGGATCGGCTCCGCCCAGGCCGGGCGTTCCACCGACGCCGCCGCCCATCATCGAGTTGATGCCCGACGCCGCCATCATCTGGTTGAGGCCAAACAGCGAGCCAGCGGCAGCCGACGACGACGCCGCGCCCGACGACGCCGCCGAGCGGGCAGCTGCGGCAGCAATAAACTTGCCAGCCTGGTCGTACGAGCACACAACAGCCTCCATTTCGGTCTCGGCCATAATGGCCTGGATCTCGTCTTGCGGCCACGAGGTGTGGAGGCCGACCGAGACGAAAGCGTCAAAGACACAGGCAAAGTCTACAACGAGCCACTGCGGGCGGTTTTCTGCGCAGAGACCGACCTTTGCCCCCCGCGGGAGGCCAAGAAACGAGCTCATTGCACAGGCCAGCTGTGTTGCCTCTGCGCCCACCTCCTTGTACGTGGTGTACACGTACTCGCGGGTGCCCGACTGGGGTGCGAGTGAGTGAGTGTGGAAGGAAAGAAACCATTGCGACACGGGGGAAGAGGAAGGGGAAGGGAAGGGGGAAGGGGAGGGGCAAGGGGGGAGGGGGGAGGGGGGGGGAGGAAGAGAGAGGGAGGGGAGGGGAGGGAGGAGGAGATGCCACGTACTCCTTGACCGAGTAGAACGGGTCCTGTCCGGACATGGCAGCTGTGGTGTTGCAGCCGACAGAGGGGGGGCAACTGGGGGAGGGTGAGAGGGTGTAGAAGGTGGGGGGTGTAGGAGGTGGGGGGTGTAAGAGGTGCGGGAGGGGAGGGAGGGAGGGGGGGGGTGGAGTGTTTGCCTTGTCGCCTGACGACAGAGCCTGCCGTGTGGGGTGGGGTGCCTCGATAGTCTCTGGCCTGTGCAGGTCGTCGCCGTCGGCGTCAGCTCGATCGATCGGTTCGTTCGCACCGCACCTTGTATACCCGATCTAGGTTGGGGGGAAGGGCGAGGGGGAGGGGGGGGGAGAGGGCGGCTGTGGACGTGGTGGTCGCACAGGCGGCAGGTGCTGGTGGTGGAAGGCAAGAGGGGCGGGTGTTGGGGAGGGCGAGGGAGGGGGCTGCTTACCTCGTTGGTGCGTCCGGTTCCAAGAAAGGGTGCATCGTCATAGAGGGTAAACGCCCGCTGGAGTGCGTGGGCCACAGATGGGGCCTTTGCCACAAACGCGTCGGTCATGGTAGGGGCCACAGCGGGTGGGCACGGGAGAAAGAGAGGTTGGCGAAGGTTTGGGTGTTTGGGTGGAGCGGATTAATGGTATGGGGGCTGAAGCGGTGGATCGATGCCAACGACAGCTCTGAAACAGATGCTGATGGTGGAGGTGGAGCTGGTAGCTGCCTCATCGTACTCTTCCATACCTTCACTACACCCCCCATTGTTTCTCCACTACACCCTCTACTGTTTCCCTCCTCGTCTGTGCCATTATCTTGCCCCGATGAGCTGCCATGCCCAAGTCAACCACCGCAGGTGTCTGGGAGTCACGCGGCAATGAAGGATCGGAGAGAGAGACGGCAGTGACCGCGGTGGCAGGGAGGCAGACGATGACGGCGCCACGTGACCTTGCCCACAAGGCCTTCGCACACACCTCACTAGTCCTCTCCCCCCACCCACCCACCCACCCACTCCCTCCCCTCCCTTACACACACTCCCCCCCCTCCCCCCCTCCCCCCTCCCCCCTCCCCCTCCCCCTTCCCCCCCCCCTCTCCCGCTGCTATGGAGTCGCAGCACCTGCTGGCCAAGCCGGCGCCGGTTGTGTCCGAAGCCAAGGCTAAGCAGGCCAAGAAGACCAAGGCATCGCTCAACATCATCCTCTTCACGGGTACGTTGTCGGGTTGTCGGAAGAAGTGTGATAGAGCATGGGGAGTTGCCCATAGCCGCGCTGGGCTGCCTGCCGTCTCTGTCCCCCCCCCCCCCCCCCCCCCCTTCCCATCTCCTCGTCACTCACGCCCTTCAACAGTGTTCATCGGCTCGGCCATGTACACCATCGTGCTGCCGTCGATGCCGGCGTACATCACACAAGTTCATGCGCAGGCTTATGTGCTCGGATGGCTGGTCTCGGCCTTTTCGGCAGGCCAGTTCTTCCTCTCTCCGGCCCTCGGCATGTGGTTCAACGCGCGCAACGCGCTCGAGCCGCTGCTCTTTTCTGGCGCCCTGCTCGTTCTGGGCAACGTGCTGTACTCGATCGCGTGGTCCAAGTGGTGGCTGGTTGTCTCGCGGGTCATTATCGGCATGGGCGCGGCAAACGTGTCGGTCTGCCGTGCCTACGCGGCGGCGGTGACACCTGTCGATAAGCGGACGGGCGTGCTCTCGCTCATTGCAGCTGCGCAGGGCGTGGGCTTTGTGGTCGGCCCGGCCATGGGCGCGGCCCTGGCATCGGTCAACTACAAGATCAAGGTCGGCGGCTCGCTCTATCCCGACGGCGAGTACCGGATCAACAACGCGACTGCGCCCGGGTGGCTCTCGGTCGTGCTCTGCCTCATCAACCTTCTTGTCCTCGCTCTGTTTTTCACCGACATGTCGCGGGTGCCGCTGCCGATGGCCAAGCGTGGCGGCGAGGTGTACGACACCATCGACGACGACGACACCGACGTGCCGGCCAAGATCCCCAACCGGCCGACGACGCCGACGACGCCGGTGCCGGATCCGCTCCCGCTGCACCTCATTCCGGCCCGCAAGTCGTGCGCCGGCGTGGACAAGACCCTCGATCTGGTGGCTATCTGCTTGGCCATGGCCATTTTCTTCTGCATCATCTCGTGCTTTGGCTGCTTTGAGACCACGCTCTCCAAGCTGCTCAAGGCCAACTACAGTTGGGGAACGGCCAAAGCCGGCATCCTCTTCATGTCGTGTGGTGTCATTTCCATCTTTGCATTTCTCACGATCAAGCCGCTGGGCAACGTCATCGGCGACCGCCTGGTCCTTGTTGTGGGCCTCGGCATCATGATCGGCACCGGCCTGTTGTGCATCGCGTACAACGGCGGACACGTTCCGCTCGTCCAGTTCCTTGTCGCCAACTGCATCTTCTCCATCGGCTATCCATACTCGTCGGCCATTATCTACGCACTCTTCTCCAAGATCCTTGGCGGCACCGATCAGGGCACCATGATGGGCCTGCTGACCTCATGCGGCTCGGCGGCCCGGACGCTCGGCCCGCTCGCCGCCGGGTATGGCTACTACTACGGCGGTACCAACACCGTCTATATTGTCATCGGCGGCTTGGCTGCGCTCGCTCTCGTCCTCACCCTGGCTGGCTGGTCCAAGCTCGTCACCTACGACGTCCTCCTCGACCGCAAGCTTGCCAAGTACCGCTCGTCGCGGCGGCTTGTCATCCAGTCTGCGTAGCTGTACTCGGCGCTGCGGCCGAGGTAAAGTACGCATGTGCTAAGGCGATCATGCCGATGGTGGCCATGTCCAGCCCGTGGGCATCTGGCTGCGCGAGCGCCTCGCTTACCTCCACTAGCCGCCGGCCGCCGGCCTCGACCGCCTCAGCCTCGCTAGACCTCAACTTGTAGCCAAACACATGCGCCTGGCCGCTCGTAGCCGCAGCCGACGCGAGAGCGCCGGATCCGACCCTCACCAGACGGGAGGGATCGAGCTTGATGCCCAAGCTCGTACCAACTCCCGGATCACCGGTGAGTGTTGCGATTGGACCGGTGATGAGCGCAACCCGCGGCGCGTGCTCGTCGGTCAAGAGCACAAGAGCGTCAATGTCCGGACGGAGGACGACGGTCTGGGTGACCACGGCATCGTCAGCAGCAACAAAGACGGAGGCCGAGATCCCGAAAAACTCGGGCGCGCTCGAGCCAATGGGTGCCACCCACTCGATGCGCAAGTCGCGAAGCTCGTTGCCAGCGCTGCCGAGGGCTTTGTGCCACGCGCGAAAGGCAGGCGAGCGCCAGAGAAGGAGCGGGGCCGAGGCGTCGCCGCCGACGCGCCGGGCGCCGCGCCCAATGGCGGCGACGGCGGCAGCGAGAAGATCAGACAGGTTGTCAAAGGCTGGTGCGCCGTACTTGCGGGCGTAGTACAGCTGGTAGCCGGTCTTTGGCGCATCGGGCGGAGCGCCGAGCATGGCGCGGCCCGACATCTTGAGGCCACCCCACTCGTCGTTGGTGGTGAGGCCCGGGAGAGTCACCAGATCGCGCGGGATCCAAAAGACCACAACGTCGGCGCGGGCGATGCCGGACTCCTCCCACTCGACCTGGTCGGCGTAGCCTTCAAAGATGTTGACGTTCGAAGCCGCCATCTCGGGGCTCTCTTCGGGCACGTAGACATCGCCTTGGAAGCCGAGCTCTTCGAGTCGAGCCACGGCTTCGACACGCCACGATGTGAGATGCGGCGTCTTGTCCAGCCGTACCGTTGGCCCTGCGAGGAAGATGGCGCCCGGCTCTGTGGTTTCCGGATACGGCTCTTGGGCGTAAATGATTCGCATGTGGCCTGCGATGGAGTGATGTGTGTGTGTGTGCACAAGAGGGAGGGCGACGTCGAGGGGCGAGGGTGACGTCGAGTGTGACATCGAGAGCGAGTGTGACGTCACCATCATCAACCCATCATGGCGCACATGAGGGAGTCTAGCCGCAACACAAAAAGAACCACGGGGGCCTCTTCCTCCTCTCCCTTCCTCACTCTCCCTCTCACTCTTTGCCCTTCATTGTCTCCATGCAAACAAGATGGCGATTCGAGGCCCAGGCGCACGACGGCAGAATGGGGGGGGGGGGGCAAGGGAAGTGGACATTGACTACTGCATCAATCGCGTTTCATAAGGGGAATCACACACGATCTAGAAGCCGTAGCCGGGGTAAGCCGAGCCGTAGGTCTGCTGCTGCGGGTAGCCGCCGAACTGCTGCGGGTAGCCGCCAAACTGCTGCTGCTGCTGCTTGATCTCACGGCGGGCGAGAACCTCAAAGTGCGGGGCAGACGGGATCGACTGGAGGAAGGCGATCTCGGCACGGAGGCGGGCGTTCTCGGCCTCAAGGAGGTTGTCGCGCTTGTGGACAAGGATCTCGCGGGTCGGGCCGGGGATCTCGACGTTGACCGGCTTGGGGACGGCAACCTTGCGCTTGACGGTGACCTCACGAATGTGCGGCTGCGGGACCGGGACGCGCTGCTTCACGACACGGACGGGGCCGGGGACCTGAACCTGCTTGGGGACCGGGCGACGGATGACCGGGCCAGGAACCTGGACCTTGACGTCCTTGTAGGTCACAGGGCCGGGGATCTCGACCTTGACCTCCTTCTCGACAACGGCACCGGGCACGTAGTCGTGGACGACGCGCTCGACAACCGGGCCGGGAACCTCGACGCGCTCGATGCGCTCGCGGACAGGGCCGGGGACCTCGACCTTCTCGTCGCGGTACGTCACGGGGCCAGGGATGACCTCCTTGATGGTGCGGACCGGGCCGGCCACGTACTCGGGCACAACCTTGACAAAGGTCGGGCCGGGCACAACCTGGGTGCGGACCGACGGCGGGCCGCGGCGCACGATGGTGGCCTCGGCGCGCGGGACGCGGACGACGACGTTCTCAAAGGCCTCAGCCTCCTGGACCTGGACGGTGGCAGGGCCGGACGGCGCGACGTACGAGCCGACAACCGGGCCGGTCGCGTTGCCGTGAGCGGAGCCGTAGCCGGAGACAAAGCCGGGCTGGCCGAGGGTGGTGTTGTTGGCCGGAGCAGCGGCGGGGTGGTCAGACCTGCAATTCCCACACAACTCCAATGTGAGTATCATGCCATGGGCAGTAGCTTGCATAGCCAGACTAGCATGGCGGGGTGGCGGAGAGTCCCGCTGCGGCGTAAAAAACAACGAAACGAACGCAGCGCTTCCATCCCCAAAAAAACGAGCTCCCGCGCGGAACGGGCTCACCCACACCCACACACGTGCCCACACTGCCCCTTGAAAGGCATAAGACTCCCTTACGCCTACGGTCTCAGAAGCAGTGTCTGCCAGCAAGTGCAAAAGCTGAGGGGTGGAGCGGGGGAACAACGACACCAGCGCGTGGGCGCCGAAAAACGAGCCGTTGGCCGCCCACCCAGTTTTTCAGCCCATCCCCCCACCTCCCGCACAGTGCGCAAGGGCACCCTACCACCGCCTACACACCTCCAGCAACAGCGAGCAGGCAGGTGTATATGCCCCAGCAGTGCAGCAAGTGTATACAGTGCTGGAGAGTTGGGGTTGGCTCTCATCGAGGCGCTTGCAGGCAGCGGGGGGTGGCGACCAGAAGCCCACGCTGACCGAACAACGTACATTATGAAGGTAGAGAGAGAGAGGGGTGGTAGTGGCGACCCGTTTCAAACGATTGGAAGAACAGGCGATGAAGTGCGCGGTTCCCGGCGGGAGGACAACCACTGGCAACGAACTGGCAAAGAACTGGCGACGAGCTGGCAGACGAGGATAGTGTTGTTGTTTGATGAGAGGTGAAAGGATGGAGAAGGGTCGGCTTCAGAGACAATCAGGCCGTAGGGTTGGGCGAGGTCGAGGACAAAGCCGGGTTGGCAGTCATGTTGGTCTCGTGTGTGGGTAGGGGCGAGGTGGCAGCGGCAGCGGCGGCAGCGAGTGCGTCATCGTCGACAAACGGCGGCGGCGGCGAGCGCGGGCGAGTCGGCTCGAGGGCCGATGGGTGTGCAAGCGCTGGCGGCGGCGGCGGCGGCGCGTCCCGGACAGCAAAGACGGTAACGTTGATGCGGGCGGCGGTAACGGCCTTCATCTTGGGCACAGTGTGGAGGTAGCGGGCGTTGACTGACTCGTCAAAGATGAGGACGTCGCCGTGGGCCAGATCATAGGTGATGCGGCGGGCGGTGGCGGCAGCGCCGGTAACGCCCTTGGGCTTGAAGTGGAACTTGCGAGTGGCGCCAAGCGAGATGGAGAGCACATCAGCGCCGTACTCGTCAGCGTGGTACGGGGTATGGTCCTCGCCGTTGCGGTAGAGGTTGCAGAACGCGCCCTTGATGGCCGAGACGCCAAACGCGGATGAGATGGAGCAGAGAAGCATGTCAAGGGCCGGGACAACGCCTTCCTGGTAGTGCCAGACAAGGCGCGGGAGGACCGAGCCGCGCCAGCGCTTGGCGCCCCAAGGAACCGTGGTGGCCATGGCGTCAAAAAGGGCATCAGCTTGGTCGGCCGGAACGGCGCCGGGCGCGTAGAGGATGCCTGCCGATGGCGAGAGCTCGTGCTTGAGGCGGGCAAGGATGTCGGCGTCAGCGCCCGCCGATGTTGTCTTAGCGCGCTTGGTGAGCTCGGCCGGACGGACGATGGGTCCGACGGCGACGTCAGGGTGGACAAGCTTTTCCTCCGGCTCGCGCGGGCGCTTGCGCGAGACCTTCTTGGGCGGCGGCATGACGGGCATGGGCGTGCCGACGGCCTGCCAGAAGGCCGTGAGTGGCTTGGGCGGCGGCGGGGACGGCTGGGCCGGCTTGAGCGCCGGCAACTCGGACTTGAGCGCCGAGGTGAGGGCGGACACGATCTTGATCTTGAGCGCGTTGGCGGCGGGGGTGGCGAGTGAGCCGTCGCCGAGGTAGTACATGGCGCCAGCGAGCTGGGTGGCGTACTGGTTGGCGTTGAGCTTGGTGGCAAACTGGTCGGCGACGACAAGGAAGCGGGCGCCTGCGAGTGCTCGCGGGGCGGCGGTGAGGCCGTAGTTGACGGCCACCTCCCACTCGTCGGGCCCAACCTTGGTCTCGATCCACGACGTGTCACAGGTACCGAGCTTGAGGGCGGCGACGCCATCGAGCAACTCGGAGGCCTGGTACGAGGGGAGGGCGGCGGCCTTGGCGGCAGACGTCACGGCCTCGCGCGGCGGCGCGTCGCCGAGCAGCGACTCGAGGCACTCGATGCGCTTGCGCGGCACAGGCGTGTTGCCCGAGTACTCGGCCGAGAACTTGCGCCAGTGCGGCCGCTTGTGGGCGAGCTTGAACTTGGGTCCACGGAGCGTGGCCGACGTGACCTTGCCATCGTCGCTCGCATCGCCAAACGCAAGCTCGGTGACGAGAAACCAGTGGTAAATGGTGTTGACTGCGGCGCCGGAGCCGATCGGCGCGGCGTTGAGCCGCGACTTGACCGCCTCGTACGCCAGCTGCGACTGCATCGGCGTGAGAACGCCGAGGCTCGAGTCGCCAGCAGGCGCCTTCATCTCGCTCACCTCGAGCGCAGCATCGGAGTAGTTCCACCGGTGTGTCGACCCGACCCGCATGCCCGAGTACAGCTTGCCGTTGTGGACCTTGCGCTGGTTGTAAGACTTGGCCGGCGACGTGCTGGCCGAAGATGCCGAGGAGGCCGCCGACGACGACGACGACCGAGGCGCAGAGGTAGCAATCGAAGACATGATGAACAGCGGAAGTATCAGATCAAGAAAGAGAGGCACGGTGTACCGGAAAGTCATCACTCTGCCATCGCAGCTTTACCGTCCGGTTTTGTGGCGGCGGCAAGCCAAGCCGGGCGCTCAAGTTCCGCAGGCGAACTTCCTGTCGACGAACTTGCCGCCGGCGAACTTGCCGTCGCCCGACCGGGGCCAGGCCAGGGTTGGGGCCAGAGTAGGGAGCAGGACCAAGCACAAGAGGGTAACGGGACGGGGCAAGGGCGGGCTGGCTTGGGCGAGCCGGGCTGGCTTGGGCGGGCTAGGAGCTCGAGCATGGGCGGGCTCGGAGCTCGAGCATGGGCTCACTGGTCGTCGACGAGGTCAGGGAACTTTGCCACGAGGTAGGAGCAGGAGACGACGAGGTCAGGAGCAGCATTGACAGCGTGGCCAATGGCAGCCTTTGCCAGCACGCCTGCGTAGCCCTTACCCCTGTGCTCGGCCTCCGTGACAGTGTGGGCAAGGTCCCACGTCCCGTCGTCCCGGGTCTCGTAGGCGATGTAGGCGACGGCGACGTCGTCGACGAACAGCTGGTACCGCCCCTCGGCATGCTCCACCCGCCCATACTCGCCCGAGTCAACGACCTCTGCTGCACTGGCTGCCATTCCGTCTGCGGTGGTGAGCTGGCGAAGGGTGACTAGACCAGGCCTGACTGTCCTCCCCATACGCCCCACCACCACCGTTCCCGCCAGCCGAAACATCGAATCGCCGCAGTCGGGAGTGCCGGTCGTTGTTCCGACTACGCCCAATGGTCGCTGGTCGTCTGGCGAAACTTCGCCTGCCTGCCAGCCCAGCCCAGCCACACCTTCCATTGGCGTCCGGCAGGGGAGGGGAGGGGTAGAGGGGGGGGGGGGGGGGGAGAGAAGGGAGGAAATGAGGATGTTTAGGTTTGGTTTGGGAGGAATCGGGGTGAGGGAGGGTTGGCGAGGAGGGCGAGGAGAAGGGGGGAGGGGATGGAAGGTTTACTTGCGGCTGAATGGAAGGTTGCCTTGGCTGGCGGGGGAAACTTACCTGGTCAGTTGGGCAGGGCGGGCGGCGGCGGCGGCAATGTCATTCGAATCGATGGCCGAGGCAGTGGAGCAGGACGGGCGGCAGCCGGCAGCCCCGCACCTCACCTCGGCTCACCTCAGATACAGTCTAGTTCGGTGCTGCTGCAGTGGTTGGTCTTGCTCTCGGCATGGACGTGCTCGACGTGGGCGTGGACGACCTGGTGGCCCGGGCGGTAGAGGAGGAGGAGGCGCTGCTGGCGGCCGAGGCAGCGGCGCAGGCGGCTCCGCATCCAGAGCCGGTGCCAGGAGCATACGGATACATTCCAGAGTCGGTAGCAGTGGCGACAGTGGTGGGAGCGGCGAGTGGCGGAGTAGGGCGGACAGGCGAGGCCGTGCTGGATGCGGTGCTGAATCTGGACGACGGCGCGCAGGTCAAGGCGGCGGACATCGGCATCACCGCTGAGACAGAGTCGGACGATGGCAGTGGTGGGGGTGTTGAGAGCGAGAGCAGGGGCGGGAATGGGAGCAGAGGTGAAGTGGCGGGGCTGGTGAAGATGCAGTCGATGTCGCTGACGGCAACGGCACTGGTCAAGGCCGCGGAACGCGCGCATGGCCTGCGGGTGGACGACGTGTCGTCGGCGGGCGAGATCCTGGCGGCAGTGCAGGAGCTGGTCGCTCAGTATCCGCCGCGGTATGCGTCGGCACTGTCGAATGTCAAGGTGGGGGCGTTTGGCATCAAGCGGAGCGAGCCGCTCGCCGACGCGCTCCGCAAGGCCGCACGCATCATCGACGATCCGCAGCCCATCACCTCTGTCGAGGCCGTGTACCTCGTGCTGCTTCTGACGACCAACATGCAGGGTGTGCTTCGAGTTCCCATGGTGGTCGTCTCACGACGAAAGGGCGAGCGATACGTATCGTCGTATCTCATGCTGCGGCACGGCGGTGCGTACGGCCTCACCGGGCAGTCTGTAGTGCCCGAGGGCTCGGACTCGCTGTTCAATCTGGCATTTGCGCACGGCGACGTGCCAGGGCTTCTCACTGCGCTGCTCGCCATCTACAACCACCTCGACCATGAAGTGGCCGCCATCCACCTCGGGCTGCCGGTCCCGCACGACCGCGGGCGCCGCGCGCCGGTGCAGTGGAAGTACCTCTCGCTCCTGCTCGTCCGCGAGGGCGTCGAGGTTGCGATGTCGCGGGCCCACATGTACGATGCTTTTCTCCGCAACATGGAGTCGTCGCTGCAACTGATGTGGCGCAAGTCGATGGAGGAGATGGAGCGAGTCGATCTCATCAACCGCGGGTCGTACATGCTCAATGCTGCGCGGCGCAAGCCACTTCGCAAGCGGCTTGCCCGCAAGTGTGAGGGCTACCGGGTCATCAAGGTCGTCAAGGGCCTTGTCCATGGCGAGTGGTGCTCCAAGAGCGTGCGTCCGAGCTCGACGCCGAGCTCGACGACGCCGCGAGTGTGACTCGGTCCGCCGACGAGGTCCATGCCATTGTCAAGCGGCTGACGTCGAACCACAACAGGATCCGGCTCAATGAGCACCGTCGCTGTGAGTGTCTTGACTGCGTCCAGTACAAGCCGCCGGCCCGCGAGCGGTTCACCATTGAGTCGGCAACCTCGCCGAGTGCGACTGGAGGCAAGCCAGTGGCGTTCGGGCGCGACCGCGGCGCCACGCTTCGGCTTGTCACCTACAACCTGCTCTCGGCATACAACTCGCACCCGGACGACTTTGACTACTGCTCCGACGAGGTTTTCGACTGGCGCTACCGTGCGCCACGGTTGCTGGTTGAGATCCTCGGCTACGACCCGGATATTCTCTGCTTGCAGGCCCTCGACGAGGCTGCGTTTCTAGACCAGTTTGAGCCGCGGTTGGCCGAGGTTGGCTACGACGGGCTCTTCCGCGCCTCGGGCACCGGGGACGGTGTCGCCATCTTCTACCGTGCTGACGTGTACTCGGCGGTCTCGGCCCACGCGATCGCACTCGACACGCTTGCCGCCGACAAGCTCGTCGGACTCGACCGCACCGACCCAGCCGCCAAGATCTACGGCAAGGTCGCCGGCATGCACCACCACAACGTGGCACTCACGGTTCTCCTCCGCGAGAAGAAGCTCGACATGGCCAACCAGACCGACCGCATCATCGCCGTCTCTAACGTCCATCTCTGCCCGCTGTATATGGATCCTGAAGGCGCCGACGCAGCGCGAGTGGTGCAGACGACCCAGACCACTCTCTTTCTCGAGGAGCTCGACCGCATTCTCAAGCACGCCTCGACCGGGACCAAGCTCTGGGACTGGCCGCAGATTGTGGTGGGCGACTTTAGCTCGTACGCGCTCGACGGGCCGGCCTCGCTGCTCAAGGCCCAGTTCCCGCTCGCACACCCGTTCCCGGTCGCAGACTTGCCAGGCATCATTTCGCACGCCCAGGACCTTGCCGAGACTTACGGTCCGTTTGCCAACGCATACGTCGACGCGCTCGATCTGACCATGGCCGACTCGCGCGGCGGCATCGATCTCGACATGCCGTTCTACACCACATGGGGCCCGACGGCAAGCACATCTTTGACCACGTCTTCTTCTCCGAGCACCACTTTGGGCTCCGCTCGCTCCTTGGTCTCCCGCTTGATCCTGTGTTCCATGCTCCGCTACCCAACGCTGCCCAGTGCTCCGACCACATTGCGCTTGTCGTCGACCTTGGCACCATCTCGCATCGGCTCATCTCCCACCAATGAGCCCGAGCGCGCTAGCTCTGCCACGGCCGCAGCACCGCGAAAAGGCCGTGCGCTCGGCGCTTTGCAGAAAACGGCGCCTGGATCGCTGACTGTGGGAGTCGGCTCACTCCGCCTCCTGTCGGCGCTGGCGTCATGGTTGCGGCCATTGCCAGGGTGTCAGAGCTCGGCGTCGGCTGCGAGGGCGACGACCGGCTGCGGTCAGCCGATGGAAGTAGCGCTGAACGAAGTTGCGCACCGCTGCAGTCGCGCGGGAAAGGAACAACCGGGGCCTGGGTGATGAAGCCCTCGAGTGCCGCCGCCAGTCGGGCCTGGCGGGTGGCGGCGGCGGCGTCGCCGGTCGCAGCGTCGGCGATGGTTGCCGAGCCGCTCAACGGCGGATCCAGGCGTGCCTCCCAGGGTTGAAAGCCGCGGAGCTCAATGTCCTCCTCCAGCACGTTTCCGGGCGCGCTGGGTAAGCCTCGCTCGCTATCGCGGAGCGCCGCAAGGGCCTCAGCGGCCCGGGCGACAGCGGTGTGGAGCGCGGCAGCGATAGTCTCGTCCGACGCGCCGAGAGCGTGGACGCGGCTGGCGGCGGCGTGGAGCCAACCGGCAACAATGCATGCACCGGTCACGGCCGCTGCACACTGATGGGTAAATATGGCGTCGAGAAAGTCGGTGAGAAGGTGGAGCACGAGGACAATGGCAAACGGCGGCGCAGTGCCAGCGCGCCAGGCGTGGGCGGTGTAAACACAAACGACCGCAAGGTGTAGCGCAGTGCAGCGAGCGGCCGCATCGTTGTCGCCGAGCCCAAGCCCGCCGCGCTGGTGCAGCGATGGTGCCAAATCCGGGACGTCGGTAGGGGACGGGGAAGCAAGGATGGCAGCGTGGACGCAGACAAAACGGAGCGCGGCAGTCGACGATCGCCAGGTCGGCGGCGGGAGGCCCGAGCGAGGTCCAGCGGCGGCAGCCGGCCGTGCGGCCGCCGCCGCCGCGCCGCGCTTGATCGAGTGCTCCAGCAGTAGGGCAATGTTGTCGGTGACCGAGGGAAACGGGAGCGGCGCCGCAAGCGCGCGGACATAGCGGTAGAGTGCAGTGAGCGGGTCGCGGGCGTAGGTGGCGAGGACGGCGAGCTGGTTGTGGGCGGCGCCAAGGCCAGGAGCGGCGGCCAGCGCAGCGTGGTACGCGGCACTGGCACCGTCCCACACACGCATGCTACGCGGGCGGACCAGCTGGCGGTAGCGGGAAACGTCGCCGGCGTGGAGGTGGCAGCGAGCGACTGCTGCTGCTGCTGCTGCTGTGGTGGCGGCGGCGGAACCGGCAGACGCCGCGGATGCTGCAGGCGACAGGCGCCGCCTGTCGAGGCGAAACTTGCGGGTGAGCCTGTGGGCGAGTGCGGCGTAAAAGGCACCGGCCTCGTCAAGCAACTCATCGAGGGCGGCACGAGTGACAGCGCATGCCGGACGCGCCTTGACTGCACCCCGCAACCGCTCGATGCCCGAGTAGTAGACGGCGGTCCAGATCCGCTGCTCGGCCGCCGGCGGCGCCGCCAGGCTTGCCTCGCCGGCAGTGAGGAGGAGGACATTGGCATAGCGGTTGCGGATCTCGATCCGGAGCGAACGCTCCGCCGCCACCTCTCCACCATCGCGGAACCGTGCGAGCGCTGCCTCCTTCTTCCGGGTCTCGGCGAGGTAGCCGGCCACGTCGGCGATCGGCTTGCACGGGATGCGGACTCGTGTCGGGACTGTCGCCGCAGGCGCCGTCTTGCCAGGCGCCGCCCGTACCGGCCGGGCCGGAGACGCCGATCGTCGCCGCTTCCGACTCGGGCTCGCCGTGTCCAGCACTGCCGTAGCAGTCGAGGCTGATGTGGACGTGCCGCGCGCGGCTGATGATGACGGTCCGGCCGTCGCCCGTCGTGCGCGCGAGCGGCGGCGGCGAGGCATGCAAGAGACGAGTGTGTCGTCGAAATCGGGGGGGACGAGAGAGAGGAGGGGCTGTGGGGGGAGAGAAGTAAGACGCGTGGGGAGGGGAGGGAGAAGGGGGTGTGGATGGGACAGCAGTGACTTTGCGCGTGCGTGGTGTGAGCGAGGGTGTGTGTGTGGGTGCGGAAAATGTGTGATCAACCAATCTGAATGGCGTGACATAGTCACCACGGGGGGACGTTTCCTGTTTGGTTGGTGGTCGATGAGATGCCAGAAGGCGATGATGGTCACGAGAGTGTGCGTGTGTGTGACCTTTAAAAGAGAGCCTCCTCCGGATCAAGGGCCTCAAGGCCGACCAGCTGCCAAACGGACGGGTCCGAGGCGTCGCGCTGGACAGACCAGATGTACTGGACGTTCTGGATCGAGTCGGGGTCACCCTCGATGACGTTGCCTGCAGCGTCGCGGACGACCTGAACCTGCTGGACGGTGAAGGAGTAGAAGAGGGTCGGCTCCTTCTCGATGGGCTTGATGGCGATCATCTCGAGCGGCGAGATGTGAAGGATGTGGGTGTCGTAGCGGCGCGACGCCGAGGCCGGCGGGAGCGTGCCCTCGAGGACGGTGAAGAACTTGGGCGAGACCAGGTTCTTGAGCTCGGCAAGGTCGTGGCGGCCAAGAGCCTCCATGACCTCGGGCAGGGTGTACTTTTCCAGTCGCGCTTGCAGAGCGTACTCGTCAAAGCCGGGGTCGAGGCGGCGGATCTCCGAGTAGCACATGGCGGCCTCGGTCTCCGGGAACAGGCGGTCCGAGAGCTGCGAGAGCTTGTCGGCCACCGAGTAGTAGGCGCCGCGGGCCGAGACCAGGGCCGGGTTGTCGCTCTCGCGAACGGTCTCGGTGAGGGCGAGAGCCGACTTGACAATCTTGTTGTCGCGGTAGCGGTTGAGCAGGGCCTCGGTCGGTGACTCGATACCAAGCTCAGCGAGGCCGACGGCGGTGCCCTTGACGCCGGGCTTGGCGTCGGCCCGCGAGTGGGTCTCGGACAGCTCGGCCTCGTAGCGCGGATCGAGGATGTAGTCGCGGGCAAACGCCTGGCCTTTTTCGGCCATCTTGCGGGTCTTTTCAGCCACCTTGGACGCCGTCTCGGAGCTGGCGGCCGTCTTGGCCTGCGACGAGACCGAGCCGGCCACACTCGAAGAGACCTTGGTCACCTTTGACGTCACCGACTTGGCCACCGACGACTCGGACGCCTTGGACACTGCGCCTTTGGCCTTGGCCGCCGCCGCCGCAATCGACTTGGACGAGCCGGCCGTAAAGTCGGAGAACTTGTCCTTGATCACCTCACCCTTGGCCATTGACGAGCTCTTGAGCTTCTCGGCCGTCGCCGCCGCCTTCTTGAGCGACTTCTTCTCGGCCAGCCGCTTCTTCTCGGCATCCAGCGCCTCGAGGTTCTTCTGAAGCTCCTTGTCCTCGGCCAGCCCGGACTTGACCTTGTTGACAAAGTCCTTCCACAGCGATCCCGTCGTCCCGGCACTGCCCTTGGCCTCTGCCGCCGCAGCTGCCGAGAAGACTCTCGCTGCTCCGGGCGTGGTAGCACCGGCCACTGCCAGCTGCGTGGCCCGTGCCTGCACCAACCGCCCGGCCTCGCTTGTCTTCCTCGCTGTGCTCTGTTTCCCGGCCATAGCAGCCACCACCCGCAGACTCTGCGGTCGCATCACCATGCGCTGTGGGAGGGGAGGAAGGGAGGGGGAGGGGGGTGAGGAGGATGTCGCGTAGGATGCGGAAGGGGGGGGGAGGGGGGGGGGGGAAGGAGGGAGGAGGGAGGGGGGGAGGGGTGGGGTGGGAGGGGAGGGGCGTACGCATGTGTGCAAGGCGCGCATCATTGTGGAGTGGGCGTTGGTGGAGTGGGTGGGTGGCTGGGAGTGGGGGTGGGGGTGGGTTGAGTGGGTGCCAGTAGTCTAGCGAGGAGGAGGTCAGTCGGCGGTGGGTCGGTTGGTGGCTGCTGACGGATGAGTGACGATGAGTTTGCAGAGGGCGTAGTGTGGGTAATGGTTGAGGTGTGTGTGTGTGTGTGTGTGTGTGTGTGTGTGTGTGTTCTGGATGCAACGGCAATGATCAGAGCCGCCGAGGGCCCGGAGGAACGAGGTAAATGCCATGATCTGCTTGCCGTCCTTGGTGGTGTACGGCGCGTCGTTGCTGGGGAGGGCGGCGGGGGTTGCGGCGGGCAGGCCGCCCGAGACTACACCGAACCAGTCGAAGCAGCCTCCCGGTTTCTCCTCAAGGGCGATATTCTGGGCTTGCGAGAATACCATGACGATGTCGTTGGCCTCGGCGATCTCGAACAGACCGACGTTCTCGATGTACTCGGTGCCTAGGAGTTGCGCTGATGCGAGCAGCTGTGAAAGTCGACATGGATGGGACAGGCGGAGCCGCCGGCCGACGCGAAGGATGCATTCGGCACATACACATACGCCGTGTCCTCCAGCATGATCGACGATGCCAAGTATTCTGCTGGAAAGTACTTGCTCTGATTGTAGGTATAGAGCGAGGCCTTGGCGTTTGGGATGCCCGGCTTGAGCGCACCGTCGTAGAGCCACTGCAGGGCGTGCCATGCTGCATCGTAGTCGCACTTGCTGATCTTTTTTTTCTCGGCCGATCCAACCACCGGGGAAAGGGAATGGTGGACAGGGGGGGGCATTCCAGGCTGGTTCGGCGCGCTCGGCAGGGCTTTGAACGGTCGTGGGGGAAACGGGGTGGGGAGGTGGGGGCACCCCTCTGGACGGAGACTGGAGAGGAGGTTGTGGGATGGGAGACGCAAGTAGCGAGAGTTGGGGCTCGGAGCAGTGTTCTTATGCCACCGAGTACCATGTGGTGTATGGCGGACGTGGTGGCTCGGCCTCGGGCTGCTCCTACGCCACCGAGTACGATGTGGTCTACGACCGGAAGACACGCGCTGCACCGCCGGCGGGCTCGGACGGCGGGAGCACATCAGGCTGGCAGTATGCGTACGAGACAGAGTACGAGCTCGTGCACAAGGCTGCAGGCTCGGGGTCGGGGTCGGGGTCGGGGTCGGGGTCGGGGTCGGGGTCGGGGTCGGGGTCAACGACGACGGGTGACCCGGACTCGATGTTTGGTTACGGCACCGAGTACGATGTGCTGTACAAGGTCGACCACTACCACTCGGAGGCCGAGGCCACAGACAACGAGCTCGCTCTCCGCTCGCTCACCGCAAGATCAGACTCGGCAGGCAGCGACGAGCCTGATGTGTACTCGCTCACAAACAGGTTCGACCATGGTGCTGCTCCACCCGCGGATGATGGGAATGGCAAGGGCAAGGGCAAGGGCAAGGGTAAGGGCAAGGACAAGGGCAAGGGCAAGGGCAAGGGCAAGGGCAAGGGCAAGGGCAAGACAAAGAGGAGAAAGGGAAAGAGGAAAGGCAAGACCGGAAAGACCGGGTCGGGGTTGAGGTCGGGGTCGGGGTCTGGATCAGCTTACGATACAGACTATGCCGGCCACAGCAGCCGTGGTCGTGGCAGCAAGGATCGCCGCGCAGACGCTGCCGCGGTGTCGTCGGGCTCGGGACCCGACCGTGCGGCAGCACCAAGTGCTGCGTCCGAGTACGACACAGACTATGCCGATCACAAAATGGCCAAGGGCAGGGGTAAGGGGAAGGGCAAGGGCAAGAAGGGCAAGAAGGGCAAGAAGGGCAAGGGCAAGAAGGGCAGGGGCAAGAAGGGCAAGGGCAAGGGCAAGAAGACGACTCGCGTGGCAAGCTCTGGGTCCGAGTACGACACAGACTTTGCCAATCACAAGCGGGGCAAGCGCAAGAAGGGCAAGCGCAAGCAAGCCAAGGCCAAGGCCGAGATCTCTTCGGGATCGCTCGACCACGGCGCACCACCAAGTTCGTCGCCATCGTCGCGGAATGTCTTTGCCGCTGCGCGCAAGGCGAGCCGCCAAGTCGAAGACACCGACTACATGTACGACGAGCCGTACAACACTGACTTTGCCGTGTACACGGTCGTGCTCTCGGCGTCGTCGCACTCCAGCTCGGGTTCGGGTTCGGGCTCGGGCGCCAGCGGCCGGCGGCACGTTCACTACCATGTTTCGCGCAACTATCGCGTCTTCTACAAGGCCGGCGTTGCCCGTGCCGGCGAGTACTCGGTTTCGTGCTCGCTGTGAGGCACACCATGACGCGCTCGATCGGACTGGACGCGACAAACGGGGCGAAATGAAGCCATCACAGCCAGTCATCATCCCAAGCCCTGGACTACCCTCCACCATTGCGATTGCCTTGGTGCGCAAGGGCCGTGCACAGCTCTGCGCGCCGGCAGCAACTGTAGCGACAGCAGCCGGTGACGGCAGCTGGCAACCTGGTGCTCTCATAGTGCCGCAATCCACATCAGCACAAGGATCAGATGAAGCCTGCTTCCGATCACTACATCTGACCGTCCTTTGGCCTGCGCTGCATCGCACTTGGGTCGGCCGGACCAGCACCTGCGCTCACCCCACTTTTGCCTGAATTATGGAACCATTCTTCCTTCTTTTCCTTCTCACCCCAAACAAGAAGCAAGGCCAAAGACAGACAGCGAGCGCACCTCTGTTGGTAGCAGGTGACGCAAGGCGCAGCCGTCTCCACTTGTCACTAACTACCTCCACGCCCACCTCTCTCCACGCTGGCTGACCAAGTATGGAGAGCGACTTGCCGCTGACGATTCCGCTGGCGACGCTTGCCTCGCACTTTGACTGTCCTATCTGCCTCACCACGCTCTCGGACACAGCCATGCTGCCGTGCGGACACAACTTCTGCCGGCCGTGCATCCTCGAGTGTCTCAATCGCGAGCACCTCTGCCCGTGCTGCCGGGCTGCCGCCACGGCTGCTGATGCCCGACCCAACCATCATCTGGATGCCACCGTGGCGCTGATCGAGACCGAGGCTGACAAGGCCTCGCGCGCCTACTTTGAGCAGCTCACCTCGGGGCGTGACGGCGGCGGTGGCGGCGGTGGCAGCGATGCAGGTGCCGAAAAGGACGGCCAGGCGAGGAACGTGCCGGTGCGTGACTTTACTCCCATCGAGCGGGTGTTCCAGACCGCGATGCGCGCCTCGCTCGCGGCGTACACCGAGTACTATGACAAGGTCAAGGTGGCGCATGAGACGTCGCTGGTCAATCTGCAGCGATCGGCGGCGGCCGAGCTGACCCAGGCCAAGTCGGGCATTGCCGCCCGCGCCCGCGCTGCGTCGCTTGCTGGAAACACCGAGAGCGAGACCGAGCTCAATGCGCAGCTCGAGCAGGTCATGGTTGCGCACACCCAGGCGTTCGAGGCCAAGCTCTCTGCAGAGCGGGCCAAGTTTGATGCCTCAGTCTCGGCACTGGTCGACGCATACTCGCGGTATCTGGACGAGAACGTGCCTGCGGTCGAGTTTGTGCCTGTTCCGCTCTCACTTTCTGTCCCGTCGCGGTCGCTGGTCCTCGATGGCAGCATCGTGCTGGATCCGATGCACACGGTCGAGGACGTGCACGCCCGCGCGATCGAGCTTCTCTGCACCGAGGAGCATGGTATTACGCAATGGGAGATTGGCAGCGTCGAGTATGTGCTGGATGAACAGGTGCTCGAGCCCGGGACGGGCGTGCCGATCCGCGCGGCCTGCGGCGCCGAGCTAGTTGCAGGCGCTTCTATCGAGCTCCGCGGCGAGCTCGCGTCGGCCGCCGACGTCTGCTTCTCGGCACTGCCGTTTGAGGACGGCGCCGGCGTCCGGGTCACCTACTACTCGTGCGATGAATGTAGCAAGGCCTGGATTTGCGAGTCGTGCGCCAAAGCGTGCCACGCCGGCCACACCGTCTCGCTCCATCTGTGCAACTACGAGCCCAACTATGCCTGCTGCTACTGCGTCCGCACCAAGTGCTGCGTCCTCGAAAACGCCAAGACGCTTAAGAAAAAGCGCAAACTCGAGAAGAAGCAGCAGGCTGCCGGTCCATCGGCATGAAGCGGGTGCAGCAGCCGCACATCCTTAAAAGGGGCCGCTAGTCAACCCGCCAGCCCGCCGGCGGGCCGCTGCCAGCCCGCCGGCCGGCCGCTGCCAGCCCGCCGGCCAATGCGACCCACTTTCACCCACTCCTCCCGCAACGCACATCACCCGACGACATGGCCAGCAACCCCCGTAAACCTGTTCGAGGCCGGCGCGGCTGCAGCGGAGAGCACGCCCCGTACAGCTTTTCAGT